AAAGAGACAGCGTCTCACTACATCACCCACGCTGGAGTGTAGTGGCTATTCACAGGAAAGACCATAGTGCCCTATAGCCTTGAACTCCTGGCCTCAAGCAATCTTCCTTCCTCAGTCTCCTGATAGAAATACTTTTTTTCTTTTTTGAGACATGGTCTTGCTCTGTTGCCCAGGCTGGAGTGCAGTAGCAGAGTATCAGTTCACTGCAACCTCCCCGTCCCAAGTTCAAGTGATTCTCCTGCCTCAGCTTCCTGAGTAGCTGGGACCACAGGTGCCTGCCACCGCGCCCAGCTAATTTTTGTATTTTTAGTAGAGACAGGGAGAACGCCTGGCCTAAAGTGATCTGCCCGCCTTGGCTTCCCAAAGTGCTGGGATTACAAGTGTGAGCCACCACACCAGGCCCATTATTTTTATATGTTGTAAAATGTTGCAGCTCATACTTTAATTCACTAATTATAACACCAACTCATGGAGTGATATACTTAAATAATAGATATCTTTAGAAACAAATATGGAGAGAAATTAATAAATTAAATAAAGGAAGGCAAATTCCTATGTGACTCATAACAATGGTTTTTGCTCTTCCCTTGCTCCTTGAAGCCCACTGCCATGGGAGCTATCGTTTTAAAAAGCTGAGCTCTAACTAAATTGATTGGTTTACAAGAAGAAAGAAGGAAAGACACTATTAAGTTTAAGTGGAGTTGATTCAGGTTGAAAAACAAGCTTGCTTAACTGGTATCACTTTTGTCCAAAAACATTTCCTCCTTTACTGCCTATTTATACTTTATAATATAACTGCTTCAGAAATTAATTTGGTTTAATAGGCACCTGCTTTCAAATACAAGATTATGATTTATAAATTTTTACTTGATACTTGCTTTTACTGTATATCCTTTTGTACCATTTGAATTTTTTATGTACATATATTTCCTATATTAAAAAACATTAAATAAGTTAAACAAAAAAGAATGCTTTCCTGTTAATATCTAGTTAAGATCAGTTCACTGAGGAAACAAAAGCTTTGATTAGGAGTAGGAAGAAATAATTTAAAACAAAAATATTTGTGGGGCAGAAAAGACAAACATGCAAATATTTGGAGCTGGAGGAGCAGCATGAACAGCTACTTAAAACAAATAAAGGATAGATGTAGGAGATGCCAAACAATGAGGCTTCTTTGAAAAACTCTTCTCTTTGTCCCTAAGGTATTTTAATGGCACTTCGTTTCCATTTTAATCTGGACTACTACCAACACTACCGTTCAGCTATGTTATGAAATAAATAGATCTGTGCCCTGACTTGGGGCTATAACCACAGATTATAACACTATTTGCATGGAAAATGTATTCTGAGTTCCATGTAAATTATTCCAAAAACATTTGTAAACATAACCCATTTCTAAATTGAGGAAGGTATACTAACTTACAACATAAGATCATAAACTCCCAAGTGGCATGCTGTGGCTCACACCTGTAATCCCAGCACTTTGGGAGGCCTGGGTGAGTGCATAGATTGAGCCCAGGAGTTCAATACTAGTGTGGGTAACATGGCAAAACCTTGTCTCTGCAAAAACTACACAAATTAGTAGGGCGTGGTGGCATGCATCTCTAGTCTCAGCCACACAGGAGGCTGAGGCGGGAGGATCACTTGAGCCCATGAGGTTGAGGCTGTACTGAATGATGATCACACCATTGTGCTCCAGGCTGGGCAACAGAGTGAAACCCTGTCTCAGGGTGGGGGGAAGAAAAAAAAAGATCATAAGCTCCCAATGGGGAGAAACTTCATTTTCCTTATCTTTAGTGTCAATTATAGGGTGTGGTACATAGAAGAAGATACACTGAAATGGTAAATGAGACAAACATATGCACTACTTTGAAAATTTAACCCCCGTTCTGCTTAGTTCAATTCTTCCAGGAAGAAGATACAAATACAGTTGTCCCTCAACATCTGTGGAGAATTGGTTCCAGGACTCCTGAAGATACCAAAATCCATGGAGGTTCAAGTCCCCCATATAAAACGGTATAGTATTTGCATATAACCTGTGCATATCCTCCCATATACTTTAATCATCTCTAGATTACTTATAATACCTAACACAATGTAAATGCTATATAAGTAGTTGTTATACTGAATTGGTTTAGGAAAGTGACAAGAAAAAAAGTTTGTGTATGTTCAGTACAGATGCAACCATTCATTTTTTCTCGAGATATTTTCAATCTGTGATTTGTTGAATTCACAAATGTGGAACACACAGATATGGAGAGCCATCTGTATTCTTCCCAGGCTTTGCCTATGTAGACAGCAGCTTTCTGCAGATAATGTCTAAATTCAAAGGCACCACCAGTAGGACAATATAAAAATGATTGGTTGCTGGCATGTAGGCCTTCCAGGTTCCTTTAGATCTCTTACTCTGCTGATTTCACTGTTTCTAGTTCCATCTTGAACCAGCTATTTATTAGATATTTTGTTCCTAAACTATGTATTATTTCTCCATTTGTATAAATATGAAATAAGTGGCTTCCTCAATTTTACCCTGAGCTGGTCTATTATGCATAGACTGGGAGAACTGGGCTCAATGTGTATTAAAATTAAGGCATCATATATAACCATTATAGAATATCACAAATCACATCACAACTAAGGTATTTTACTTCTTTAAGAAATAATATTTCAGGTTACATATAAACTATTAATTTCTACAAATAAATGCTTTTAAATGGTCACTTTAACAAATATGAACATCTTCCTGCAAGACACATGTATATAATTTCCAAAAATAACAAACTTACTCATCATTGTCTTTTGTTGTAGATTCTTTGCTTTCAGTTAAACTGGGGTGATTCAATTTTTTTCTCTTTTCTATATATGTATAATAAAGAAAAGGATATAAAGTTAAAGGAGAAATCATTAAATTTTAAATAGAATTTAGATTGTCAAATTTACTTTAAATAGAAAGTAAAAGGTGGACAAATGGAAGGGAGGTAGGAAAAGAAAAAGTATCCTATTTTGTTTTTTTCATTTCCCATTTTCCTAATTTCTTATTCACAATACCATATAAAAATATTCTTTAATAAAAAATTTCCATTGAAGGTTGGTATATTAAAGAGAAATCCAATATGATTCTATAATTAGGTTAAAATGCACTAGTAAACTTTATTAGATAAAGGATACTTTCATCAAATATTTTAATCAAAGATATCATATTAAGGCTTGCAGTTTGCATTATTTCACGTCTTGGATTTTTTTTTGCTCAAGTTAACAACGAAGGGTGATACTGATAATCAGAAAATAGTTAAGTTCCTTGTAATATCATTGTAAAATAAACTTGACTTTAGAGGTAAAAATATCTTTAATTTTATTTTAAATTGACACTATATATTTATAGTGTATAACATGTTCTGAAATATGTATAAATATTGTGAAATGGCTAAACCAAACTAGTTAACAATCTATTTCCTTATGTGCTTTTTTGTGGTATGAACACTGAAAGTCTACTCTCTTAGCAATCTTCAAGTATATTTACTAATCATAGTCAATTATACAATAATTGAACTTGTTCCTTCTGTCTAGCTGAACTTTTTATCATTTGGCCAACATGTTCCCAATCACTCTGTCCTCCCCACCAGCAGACCCTGGTAAGCACCATTCCATTTTCTATTCTATGATTTTGACTTTTTCAGATTTTTTAAAAAGTGAGATCATGTTATATTTGCCTTTCTGTGCCTGGCTTATTTCCCTTAACATAATGTCCTCCAGATTCATTCATGTCCCAAATGGCAGAATTTCCCTCTTTCTAAAGGTTAAGAGCATTCCATTGTGTATATATACCATATTTTTTTAATCCATTCATCTGTTCATGGGCACATAGGTTGACTTAGTATCTTAGCTATTGTAAACAATGCTGCAATGAACATGGGAGGGCAGGTATCTCTTTGACATACTGATTTTATATCCTTTGAATACATACCCAGTAGTGGGATTGCTGGGTCATATGGTAGTTTTATTTTAATTTTTTGAGGATCTGAACCTTTAAAGGTTCAGATATTTATTTAGCAAGTCCTTGGAAAGATCTAAGTATAGCATTCATTATTTAAGATAGCAATAATATAAATGGTTATATTCCATTTAAAATGCTAGGTAGTTATCCAAGGTCATGGCTCATCTAAACTTTTACAAGTTTTACAAGTTGACAGAGGCATACATGAAGACATAGGATATAACTAAGTCATAATCCTTCATATGCCCAGTGGGCTGAAATGTAAGTTTGATTTTATAGCTTTAGTAGAACATAATGTTTGTAGCTATCAATGGTCAAGCAGATCATTGTTTTTGAGCTAGTTAGTTGTTTGTTTTAGAGTACTTTATACTACCATATACACTACATACTTACACATTTGATATATAATAAGCAAGTATTTGAGGACACATATTAGTACAGTTAAGATTTTCGGTGTCTTGTATATACTGGCTTTTGATGTTTATTGAATGAATAAATAAGCAAATGAATGAATAACCCAAACTGTTTACCACTAATGAAAAACAGTCAACAGAAACTCAATTTCATTGAGTCCACTGGTTCAGAAATTGACAATAATTTCTCTCATTGTTACTTTGGACCTACGTCTTCCTCCCTCAAAAAAATAAAATCCTCTCATAATTAAACTGTTACTTCAAAATGTTCTCTAGTGGCAAAAGAAGAAAAACTTACAATGCAGGAATTTTGTTAAAGCACTAGTTATTTCTCCTGTTTATGAACTATGCATTATTTGACAAGTCTGTATCTTTAAGTTCCAAACAGAATAAATTAATATGGTTAAAAGTTTAGTAAAGAATGTAAGGGGAAAAGGATAACAATATTTTGATTTTAGAGAACTTTGGAGTAATAAATTAAAATTTGTCTCTGAAAAATATTAAGCTGAAAATGAATGTTTTGTGAAAAACCACAAATGAAAACCCAAGTTACACCTTAAATCTTTACTCAAAAAAATCTTTGCCTAAAGGTCAATACTAATTTCCCGAATTTTGTACTATGCTGTTTGCATTCCGTAAAGCTCCAATATTAAGTATTAAAATTACTTTGCTCCTTTAACTTGTAATTCATTTTCACATATCGGCACTAATAGCAAAAAATGTTGGGTAAGAAATAGTAAAGAATGTTTTATTTGAATTTTCACTAGGTATTCAATGACTTTCTAAATATTTTTATTATAAGAGAACTAGTCAAATATCTCACCCTATAAAAATGTGGATCAATAGTATTAATCTCAGTCTTCTCATGGAAGGACTTATGATTTTAAATAATTTTCAGCTGTTAAATATGAAGTTTTAATATTTTTAAGAGTAATACTTGGATCAATCTGTTATCAGACTGTTGAGTAATACAACATATTGAGTAGTAAATGAGTTTCCCAGTTACTTAATAATTACTTTCCTTTATTTCATTACATTCTATTAAAAAAAGCTAGCACAATGAACATACACAAAAGGACTGTGGAGTCTATATAATATTTCTCTTGTGAGGTTATATGTAAAAGTGAACAAACAGTTGTGTATTTGACTCTTTTCAAGTGCAGTTTCACAAAACATTGGTGATAAATGCACCATCACTGAATCTGAACTACCTTCAGAATTGTATTTGAGCTTTCTGATAAGACTCCAGGGACCTCTTTCCCTAACAAATGAAGATAGCTTTTAACAAATTGTTAACACTTGGAAGCACAATCAATAGTGATGACAATGGCTAACACTTACATGGTATTAATTTGGGCCAGGCACTGCTTTAAATATGTTACATATGATACCTAATTAACTTGCACAAATCTGACATAGTCACTCCTGTTTCCATTTTACAGATGAGGAAATAGAAGTACAGAATTGTTACATAACTTATCCCAGCCCATAAAGTTAGTGAATGAGGACTGAAACCCAGACATTTAGCTGAAGACTGTGCTCTTAACCATGATGCAATGCTTATTAAGAGATTAATGTAATGGCCAGGCGCGGTGGCTCAAGCCTGTAATCCCAGCACTTTGGGAGGCCGAGGCGGGTGGATCACGAGGTCAAGAGATCGAGACCATCCTGGTCAACATGGTGAAACCCCGTCTCTACTAAAAATACAAAAAATTAGCTGGGCATGGTGGTGCGTGCCTGTAATCCCAGCTACTCAGGAGGCTGAGGCAGGAGAATTGCCTGAACCCAGGAGGCGGAGGTTGCGGTGAGCCGAGATAGCGCCATTGCACTCCAGCCTGGGTAACATGAGTGAAACTCCGTCTCAAAAAAAAAAAAAAAAAAAAAAGAGATTAATGTAAAGTCCAAACAGGTTTAGGCTGGTATCATGCTACTTCTAGGTACCCATACTTCATAGGTGATAAATATTATTGGCAATCATTTTGGTCTCAAACCAAAAGTTAAGAGTTGAGGAAAACCTTGATCCACAGAGGTTCAAGTGATTTGTCTAAGGTGGTCACACATAAGTTAGTAACCTCTTTCTAAAAGGGTTACTTCCATGTAGATCAAGTTGAAGCCTGTTGGCAAAGAGGTGAATGAGATACTGATATGGTCTTGCTATTCTTTTAATAAACCAAGTTAATTTTAATCAACTAGAGTGGAGGGTAAATAACCTCTTTAGAGGATCAACTTCCAAAAAATAACAGTGTTAATGATTTTTTTTTTTTTTTTGAGACAGAGTCTCACTTTGCCAGCCCAGCCTGGAGTGCAGTGGCGCGATCTCTGCTTACTGCAACCTCCGCCTCCCGGGTTCAAGCGATTCTGCTGCCTCAGCCTCCCAAGTAGCTGGAACTACAGGTATGCATCAGCACACCTGGCTAATTTTTGTATTTTTAGTAGAGACTGGGTTTCACCATGTTGTCCAGGCTGATCTCGAACTCCTGACCTCAGGTGATCCATCAGCCTCAGCCTCCCAAAGTGTTGGGATTACAGGCACGAGCCACTGCATATGGCCGAATAGTTCTTTTTTACTTAAAATGAAAATACCTTTATTAAGTTCCATGGATAGAAACGTAATAATATTCTTAAAACATTACTTACATTATTGAATAGAAGGGTATTGCTGAGAAAACTGAAATCACTTTTTACCTACTAAAACAGTAATATGTGGGAAGCAGTAACAAAAATATAGGTTTTTACATCTTTCTTTCAGGTTACTTTGTGTTGATTGGGTACTTGACAGTCTAGTCTGATAACTGATCTAAGTGTTATTCTTGGAAATATTAAAACTTGTCATATTAAATAGCTGAAAAGTATTTAAAGCATAAGTCCTTCCATGAAAAGATTGAGGTTAGTATTACTGATCTACATTTTACAGGGTGATATGTTTGACTAGTTCTTTTACAATAAAAATGTTTAGCATTTGACCCATACATCAGATTGCTCATAACAGATTTAAGAAGATAGTTTATTAGCTCTTTTGGAATACATATTGTTCGTTCTTTCTGCTACTTGAAAAAAAAAAAAAAAAAAAAACAGCCTTGCCAGAGGGCTAACTTTTCATTAGACTTTTCAAAGAACCAGCTTCTGATCTGTTGCTTTTCTTTTTTTAATTATACTTTAAGTTCTGGGGTACATGTGCAGAACATGCAGGTTTGTTACACAGGTATACATGTGCCATGGTGGTGGTTTGCTGCATCCATTGCCCCGTCATCAACATTAGGTATTTCTCCTAATGCTACCCCTCCCCAATACCCCTACTCCCTGCCATCCCTCCTCTAGCCCCCCAGGCCCCGGTATGTGATATCCCCCTCCCTGAGTCCGTCTGTTCTCACTGTTCAATACCCACTTAAGAGTGAGAACATGCGGTGTTTGGTTTTCTGTTCTTGTGTCAGTTTGCTGAGAATGATGCT